AATTGAAATAAACGTAAATTACCTTTTTTCTTTCTAGAATGACTTCAGATTGTAACATGAAACTACATTCATTTATCCTAAGTAGCTCTACGTTTGTAGCACTATACATTTATTTATAATCAAATGTTATTGTTTTATTGCCCTTTTAACCATGTCTGCACATGATACAAGGTTTTGTGTTACACATTCAAAATTTTATTAAACTACTTTTTGTTTGTTATACCAATTAGAATAGCATAACATCTTAGCTAATAATCCATATTTTATTATTATACAAGTTTTAAGTTTTCAATTCTACAAGACACTATTTAAAAAATCCTGAATTTTCACTAGTGTGACCCACATGACACATTTTGTCTTAGCATGCCATCATCTCTATTTTATCCACCACCCCTTGAAAAAATGATGAAATTAAATGTAAATTACTGTCTATAAAAACGTTATTGATCAGACAAACCATAATTTTGATAGCCTTCAATTCTGTTTGGTTACAGAGCTATCAAATAGAAAATCAGACCCCTCCTGTCACATCCTCTCTTTCAGAATTGGTTGATAGTTCTCTGCTATGTGTCATTATATATTACCTGTAACCAATAGGTTATGAACTTAGAGTTACTTAGGATAAACAAATGTAGTTTCATGTTACAATTTGAAGTCATTCTAGAAAGAAAAAAGGGTAATTTAGGTTTATTTCGATTTGGGGGGGGGGGATTACAAGGTCGGTTGAATTGACCGATTCCATGTTGAGAGAGTTAAAAGGACTTTATATTCCTGAACACATGTTGTTTGGTAGAGAAAATAATATATATCTCTGAAAATATTGCTTGATATTGTATTTAATCAGTGGTTTCAGAGTGTAGCATTGTAATAGTTTAGTGTGCAATGATATACTAATTTTATTTTATATTTCTATTGTTTTTTTGTTGTTTCTTTAATATCATGAACTGAGCATTGAGCATACCTTATGTGTTTGGGAAATAAGACTATTTTAATGGGTTTTTAGTTAATGGGAGAAGAACCAGACCTTGATCCTGAAATCAACAGAGATTTCTTTGAGAATAACATTCTTCATTTAGATCCTTGTCTTTTAACTGAAAGTGGGATGAAGTAAGTTGTTTCTTTTTTTTGTTTAACTTTTAGCTGTATACTTTATATTAGTCTTTCTTTGCTGCTTGTTTGAGCTCACATCCTAAATTCAAAAATTTTGGAATTCATTTAAACCGGCTGTTTTATTATAGCTTTTCAGGTGTTGTACAAACAACATAGTTACCTAAAACACCAAATGGTGTTTCTATACTTTTAATTTAGACTTTTCTCATATATATAAATATTTATATTTTATTGAAAGTATTGAAATGGTAGAGTGAATAAATTAATTATAATTAAATTATTTTATACTTTTGGGGAACTTATTTGTTAAAGTTCAATCTTGTATCCTATTAGCAGACTATTTCTATGGCTCATATTCACTAAAATTAGATTTCATAACCCTCTATTTAAATTTTACTTTGTTAATAAGCACCTAAAGTGTGTCTTTCTGTATAGCATAACTTAAGATTATTTTTTATTTTCTTGTACTTAACCTTCCAAAAACATCCGTTAATTTCTTTGCTATCAAATATTGCTAATTTCTTTTCATTTTTGTGATTTTTTTTTGCTGAAGTTTAAATGGTAAGTTTATGTTGTGCAGATATATTTCCTTAACCATATTTATTTTCTCTTTTTAATATTTTAATTTTGTGTCGTGTTATTATCAGTAACTCTTGATCAAATGTAAACTAACTTTGTGTTTTATTAATTGTGATCTTCAAAATTTGATTAACAGTACTTACATTAAAGTTGGAGAAACTTTGCATTCTTTGTAGTGAAAAAAAAAAGATTCTCTTCTGGGTAAGTTCTAGGGTAGATAAATGACTTTAGCAGTACCAAGAAAACAGAAAATTTTGTAAAAGGAAATTGTCAAAACCTCTACATATTTGACTGATATGAAGGTTTTGTTTTGTGTTTCCTTACTAAATTGTCTTTTCTGAATAGATACAAATCAGCAATGTGTTAACTGATGTAACCACCCACTATTATTTCCTGTATTTGCTGAAAGACATCTTGGCCAAATATTATAAAAGTGTTAAGAAATAAAAATGTCCAGTGACAGAAGTTGAGTGTAAATGTTTATAGTAATCATCCTATTGATAAAAACAAAAACAAAATCTTTCATCAGTAATTCAGGATCTTTATCAATTTTGATAAAGTAATGCTTTTGTTCAACTTAGGTAGTGGTGTTGATTTTATTTTGTATGAAGAAGCTTCTTTTAACATGTGGGAAGTGTTTTCTTCATAAAGATTTCTTCAATCCATCAGAGATGTTTTTTCATTATATTAGAATTATTTTTTTCTCTTCAAAAAATGAAAACAGTCTCTACTAAATTGTGTAGAGGAGCTTATTAATAAAGTGATCACTATATGACTCCTGACTTCTGTTCTTGTGTAAAAGATGCCTTAAAGTACAACTTGATTGATAGTTTCACAATATGTAAATGATATAAATCATGTTAAACAAGCGATTCTTGTTGATGCATTGAGGTATCTTTTTAGATAAATCTTATTTTTCACGTCCACTTTAATTTAAAGGTAATATTCATTGTATTTCAGATGTTTTGATAGATTTTTTAAAGCAGTTAATTCAAAAGAAGAAAAATTACTACCAAAGAGGAGAACACTTCTGATGGATGATCTAGAACTAATTGGCTTAGACTACCTCTGGAAGGTAAGAGGAAAAAGCTGACATATTTTTTTACTGTAAAGTAGTCTCCTTTATATGGAAAATTTTGTGTAATGAGTCTTGGTAATTTTGATGAATTATATTTTCTTTTATAATTAATACATATAAAAGATTTGGCAAATTTGTAAATTTTCCATTTTACAACATGAAAATACTGAAACATTCTCTCTAAAACTTGTTTTATCTATGCATGTTTTATCTATCTTATTTTATCTATGGAACTGTTCTAAAATACCTTTTGACAAGATCTTATAATTTTTCTTCAACCAATACTTATTATTCTGTATTTACACATTCTGAAAATTTACAGTTGTACAATTAATGGTACATACAGAAGCTACCAATTACAATGAAAGGTGGCATGATTTTATTATATGTATTAATAGAAACAGTAAGTTACTCTATTTTAGCTTATATTAAATGAACCTGTTACTGTCTCAGATTTTAAAAACATATGTTATTTAACACTATAATTTAAATTCATATGTCACTGCAAATAGTTCAACACAGTGTAAGCATCATGTGAACAGTATAGAATATTATTGGCTTAGGATTACCCGCTACCTTTTTTAAAGATGAAATATAACTTTGGACATCTTTAGAGTGACTAATTTACCTCTAAAGATACAGGAAGTAAATAAGTTATTTCAATATAATTTGATTTTCTTCAAACACAACAAAATACAAATTAAACTCAGTAGCATCTATATATTTAGCTCTCAGTTTAATTTTATTCATCTGACAGTAGATTATAAGGTTTTGAGACCATTTGTTTGTCATTAATCATTTCTTGTATGTTTGATGTTAGCCAGGCAAACACATTTTTCAGTCATTTCACAAGCTTCAATTTATTTATTTCTCTTTTTTCCTCACTTATTTACATACCATTCCCTGTCAAGGAGGCCCACATGTTGTATCATATTAAGTAAACTTATTTTTTTCCTGTCACAACTGTCAGTGTAAAAAATACTGAACAACAAATTGGTCATTTTCTAAATATAATGTACAGGAAATTCCAGCATTAATTAGTGGAATTAATTGCAGTAATTGAATTTTTTGTGTGACTCATTTGTTGACCGTAAATCAAAAGATAACCCTTTATATAGCTTTTCCCAAAATTTTAATAAACAAATGCTTGAAGCATACATCAAAGGTTTGAAATCATGAAAAGTCATTGAAAACAAGTTTTAAAACTTTCAGTACTAGAAATGCTAGAAAACTGGCAAATCATCCATGAAATACTGGCTTAATTTAAAATAAATCAAAAATTTAGTTTTGAGTACTAGAAATCCTGGAAAATGGCTGTTTTTAAATCAAGGTCCTGGAAAACTTTAAATCTCAATTTTAATAATAATTCATCCATCAAATAAATGACTTATTTTAAAATAAACAAATTAATTTGGATATTGAAATCAGGTTTATCTTTTTGTGCTGTCTGTTGTGAATCTCATGCCTCATGAGATCTAAGACTACTACACTTTCTTCTGGTGGGCAAATTTGATGAAAGAAAATGCTAGGACAATGCAAATTTAATCCTATATGACAGGATCTGAGCATGTTGGAATTTTCGTTTGTAAAGTCTATATGAGTTATGATATACCTGTGACATCCATTAAATTTATTTTTCAATAAACTTCCAATGCTTTCAAAGCATCTTTCCTTTTTATTTTCTATTAATTACTTATATTTAAATATATGTTAATGATGTATACACTAGATAAAGAAAAGCTGATACTAAAAATGTGGAATAATGCTATGTATAAAGTCTTAAGACAATGTGCATTGTATAAGTCTTGATTTTAGATAAGATATTTTGTTTTTGTTTTTTTTGGACATTAGGTTGTTCTGTGTAGTGGTGAAGAAATTGCTAACAGAGCAATAGAACTTCTTAAGGAGACTTACACAAATTTGGGTCCAAGGCTGCAGGCTAGCCAGCTTGCGATTCATGAAGATTTTATTCAATCATGTATGGATCGCTTGAAAGCAGCCTATGATACAGTTTCTATCCTTGAAAAAGATAAAGATAGTTTGAATAGGCAGCAACAGGAGACGATACGCATGATAAGGGTGCTGAAGGTGTTGCATGAATACATAGCCCAGTGCGATGGTGATTATGATGACGAGAGAGCCATTTTACCCATGGCCAGGTTGGACGATCCTTCTTAATTTGATGTATGAAAGTAATTTCACAGGGTCTGTTGTACATAGTGTCAGTTGTAGTTAAATTATTTTTTTCCATATATGACAAAGAATGAATTTTGGCTCTTTATGAAAATCTTAATTGTATATTATTAAAATATTATATTTTGATTTTTTTGTATGCACAAAACAGTTTGAGTTTTTGCACATTTTTATATAAGAATTTTCTGTTTTTCAGGGCACATCGAGGAAAACATATAGTTTTGACAGTGAGATTTCCTAATCAGGGACATCACGTAGATGATCTTGATGTTTGGACTCATACAAATGACACTCTAGGTTCTGTAAGACGGCAAATACTTATGAGGTTGGTTTTATTTTTCAAGCAAATAAAGGCTGCTCTACTTTAAGAGAGAGAACAATCTTATAGAAGCCTCATTTTTCAACAACTATAAAATGTTATGTTGTGATTTTGGGGGTATAAATGCTGTAGTTTTTTGTTTTTTTATGATGTCCAAAGTGGTTTGCAAGTGAATATTTTCAAAACTCCTATCAGTGGTAAAAGGGAATTTTTTTAGGTATGTTAAATTCTATTTTAATTACATTTTTGAGCACTTTGGAGTTGCCAAGCTACCAATTCAATGAAAGTGATGACTTTATAGTAAGACAGGTAGTAAAAGAATAAATTAAAATGTATTTCTTGATTTTATTTATTCATATTTAATTCCAGTTTGTAGTAATGTTTTACAAGGTTTACAAATCATTATGTACATGACTAAGTATTACCTGTAATTTTTACAAAAGCTGTATAGGTTATATGAATAATCACTGAATACTATCCCAAATGGGTGCTTGAAATTTCAATTTATACAGATACCCAGATTCATGTAAATAAATGTAAAATATTAGTTAGGAAGATTGGGTTTAAAAGGCCAGTTTGTGAGTTTTAAATTGGGGACTTAGAATGTAAAATAGTCAGGTTAAACCAAATTATGAGTTGAATTGTTGCTTTTAATAATTCATTAGTTTGGTACTCTGTGAAAGCTGTTTTTTTTACAATGTAGAATTATTGTATTCAGACATATTATTTTGTTATATATATACATACACACACTTAATGATTACATTTTGTTTTGGTTTTGAGCAATAGTGTGGATTTTGTCATTTTGAATTACCATCTCAATTGATCTCTACAAGTTGTTTTTGATTTTTAGTCGGTCCCTCTGGTGACTATCTTTAAAGTCTACCATGGACAAGTGAACGTATCAGTACACTAGAATGGGCAGCAACTGCTTGTAGAAAAAACGCAAGTGTAGAGGACGAAGTTTGAAAGTATTTCGTCTTAAAGTCACAGTGTGTGTAAGGTGTTGCAGATCATTTATAATATTCTGGTGGATTGTGGAGGATGTGTTGTTATTGGTTGTTTCTCGGGTTCTGATTGGTGGAATGGCTACATGTAGCTTCACCAATGGTAGCCATAGGCTGCTCACCTCTAATCCAATTTCTGTTTAGTGAAGACTTTATTGTATTGATGTAGAAAGATTCTTTAATTTTTCTTGTCTTCCAGAATTTGTTTGTGTTGATGATTCTAGTGTTATCTCAGTTTATTTTGTGTCCAGTTGACATGGTATGTTCTGCAATAACCAAATTTTGTTTTTTCATGAGTCTTGTTCTGTCTTTGTGTTCTTTTATTCTTGTCCTGAATTGTTTTCCTGTTTCTCCAATGTATGTTTCATTGCAGGAGCATGGAATTTCATAGATTATGTTTTTGTGTTTTTCATGAGTAGGTTCTGTTTGGTTTTCATTAGAATAGTTCTTATTGTCTTGTAAAATTTCCACTGGATGTCTATTGAGGAACCTGTGGCTACCATTTGTTAAAGCCACATGCAGCTATTCCTCCAATCAGAACCAGGGATAAACAACCAATCACTTCACGTCGACCACATTCCTTCAGGATACTATAAAAGACTTTCAACAGCTTACACACACACACTGACCTAAAGACAGAAGATTTTCAAAACATCATCTTCTACACTTGTGTATTTTCTGCAACAGGCAGTTGTCACAATTTCCAGTATATTCATCGTGAATACTCTACCTAAACAATCTATCAAAGAAAAACGTATGTAGCTCTGCCAAGTTACTTCAAATTGATTATACACCTTCGTTTTCATCTTTTTATCTTTGTCTTCTGCATTTCATTGGATTATATTTCAAATTTATTTCTGCTCATATAGTCCACAACTAGATTTTTTCTATGTATGGAGGAAGGGGGCACAGTTGTTTTTATATAACTACTTTGTCAGTTTTATAGAATTATTTTTTTTATGATAAGGAACCATTATTTATAATCACATATATGGTATTATTGCTGTTTATGTTTCATGGATGTGTGTTCTAGAGTGAAAGGAAATAATCCTCATGTGAAAGTCGAACTTTTCATAAATGGAGAAATACAAGACCCAGCTAATGACAAGAGACTACTATCCCAACTTCCACAAAGGGATAAGTTGGTAAGGCTATGATTATGCATTTTATGCTTTCAGTCCTTAAGATTACCCTGAGGCACATATTTGGTTGCATGTTGAGATTTTTCATTAACATTTAAAGTTGAGTTTAAATTAAACTAAGCTGTAGAAAGCACTTGTAATAAAACCTTTTTTATTTTGTTGGTAGTACTCACAGAAGGGGTACTTCATCAAATTTCTAAGTAAAAAACTTTCTTCAAACCCTCTAATCCCTGTACAGAGATAAAAACAGTTTAAATTCTGTATCTAAAAACTTCCAAGGTGAATTGTATATTGAAATCGAATGTGCATGAAAAACACGTACTTTGGAATTTTTACTACAAAGAATGGCTCTTTGATCCCTGTTTCAAACAAAAAAAGGGGCAGGTTGTATCCAACAAAGGCCGACATTCTTTGTTTTTAAGTATGTAGATTCCAAATCTTGAATCAAAATTTACATGAAACGTGTCATTTGAAAAACGTGTGTTTTAAATATGTATTTTTGTACCATTTATTGACTTTTTGTTGTCTTAAATTCCTTTTTTTTTTTACCCCAGTAATGGCATCTATATGTCTCACATTATTAACTATTTCTTCAGAATAGAGGTATCTGATTGGTTGGGATTATGAAGACATAAACCAGTACCTTTATAATTATCTTTATTAATTTTAGGCTTAAGCTAACATACTTCTTTTCTATGGATTGATTCTTCCACTGTCTCAGAATTTAGGAATTAAGTGAACCAGTTTTAAAAGAGAATGTGCATATATTAAATATTGTTATAATTTTAAAAAAATTGGGATTGGGTCTGAGATTTGTGAGAACAATTACACACATACTGAGGTAGGCCTTTATTATCCCAACCAATCAGAGACCTGTATTCTGAAGATACAGCTAATTAGTTTGAAACAAACTTTTGGTATACGAAATGTGACACCGGGGGGGCATTATGCTGGAATTATATGCTATCACAGAATTTCAGTATTCTTTGGGCTTAGTTTTTACAAAGATTACCATTTAAATGTTAAAGTGAAAGGGTGTCTTTGGTGGAAGCTCATGAAAAATGAAAAATAATTGCCCTCGGTTAATTTTTCTAAAAACCTTTATGAATTAGTAGATATGCTGTCTCAAATGTGACATGAAAATTTAACATTAATTTATCCTCTAATCAATGTATTATTTCTTTGCACTCCAAATCAAAGGACTTTGTTTAAAACATAAAAGAAAATGATGTTGAGACACATCCTCTTGCTACGGGCAGGTCAAAGTGTGCATGTCATGACTTTTTAAGAGAGTTACATTCAAAGTTTAATTAAACTGCTTTATTATCATGCTATACGAATAAAACTGGCATAAAAATGTAGTAAATAAATTAAATTTTAATATTATATAAGTTTTAAATTCATAATTTTATAAGGAAAAATTTTAAAGAAATCCTCAATCTCACCCTAATATGAGAACTGTGACATTTGCCCTCTAGGTATTTTCTTCTTCTTTAGAAGTACAGAATTTAATGTAAAATACTCATTATAATGTAGTTATTACTCAGCAAAGTAAAATTTTTATAGCCTTCAATCTTGTTTGTTTATGAAACCATAAACTAGAAAATCAGACTCACTTGTCAAGCCCACCTCTCTATCACAAATTTCCAGTAGTTCTCTCTGATGTTAATACTATGTTATTAATATTGTAAAATGAAAGTGAATCATACACGTGAAATAAAGTCACTGCAAGATATTCTATTTTGTGGGTAATATTTTGTACAATAACCTTAACCATGATTCTTTCGGATGCTAAGCAGAGCAATGAAAACTTGACTTTGTGAATTAGATTTGTGTATAGTTTATAACAGTTTGAATTAAGGCCCAAAATTAACTTTGAGATTAGACATTTTTACTTACATGCATCAACTTATCTATTAAGGACAGTTTAATGATGCATAATGAAGAAATGTTTTATTCTTGTTAAAATTAAAGTGTTTCCTTGGAATTAATCATGTGAAATGTCCTATATTGGTACCAATGAGGAGACACCGAGAATAATGTTTTTTGTTGTTTTTCTGGTGTTGCCCTTGCCTTGGAAAAAGAGATTTTTACAAAGTTGAGAGATATCCAAGAGAGAGAGTCCTATATCATATTTATTTTAAATTTCAAATTCAATTCTTTAGTGATTTCCACTTTTTAGTCATTTATCATTGCTATAATTGTAAGTTTACTTGTGTTTAATTCTCTGAAATTCTTCTCTGTATCATAAAGTTATAATTATAGGGAACTATGTTTCTAACTTTAGAATGTAAAGAAGTAATCCTTCTCTTGATTTTCAAAATAGTTTAAATATTTCATCCTTCAAACATATTTTTCTAATTTCTCTGTTATACTAATCTTTTTCCTGTCCTTTCTTTATATAAGTGAGTACAATGGTTTGGTGTAATATTTTATGGAGTTTAATTTATTTAGAATAAGAACAACAACACATTCAGATGATAAATACAGTTTCCAGGAGAGATAATGAGGGTTTTATGTTATTTAATAGATACGCTTGTTACTGTCAGGGTTTTGTGTTTAAAATGATTATTTTTAGACATTTATGCTTAAGGAACAGATTGTTTCAAGATTTGCCTATTCTTCTGAAACATGCAGATTTTTTTTAAATACAGATCCTGTCAGCAAAGCTAACTCAGGCTAACACGAACATGCCATCATCTCCAGACTCTAGCTCAGACAGCTCTGAAGGTTCTCCACCAAACCCATTTGATGGTCCTAATGTTGAGGCAGAAGGATGCCTTCCTGGTGTGGTATGTTTTCTTATTAATTAAAACTATAAATAAACTGGAGAATCATGTGAAATACATTAAGATATTTATTTACAGTATAATAAATAATACAAATTTTTTTTAAATTATTGGGTTGAGTTTGTTTTTTCTTCTAAAGTACAAAGAAATAACAGAACGATTTATATCATTTCCAAGCCTCCCAGTAAAAGCTTTAAAACCCATAGAAATTTAAAATTTGTTCTTATCTTTTATTTATTTATTTTATCTCAAAATAGGCCATAAAATCTTCAAAAATCTTTGCATTTGAATATAAATTTATATTTATGACCCAAAACATTGATGCAAAATATTTGATACTTTAATCATAATATTACCATTATTATCCAATAATGATCCATGGAAATATAATGACATTATAGTATTTTTGATGTGGGAGAATAATTCAGACTTCATTATCACAATTTATGTGGTAACATCTGTCATCACACACAAGCTAATGGATTATTCATGGAAAGTTTATAGATGTATATACAAAATATATTGTATTTGGCTTATGAAACCACAATTTGTTCTATATTTTTGGAGTGGCCCACTAGGAGGCCTGCATTTCCCTTGCAGTTTAACCCTGTCATGACCAGTGTGTGCACCTTAGGTGTAGAGGGTTTCACACCTCATTGGTGAGGATTGGCTACAATTTGGTGGAGTTCATTTTAAATTTGCCATCCACCCAATTCGTTCAAATCTTGTAAGAAAAATATTGAGGAGAATGGGGAATACTGGGGCTGGAGACAAAATATTAGTACCAGTAGGCTGAAATTGAGATTGCTTTGTATACTTTGATGTTTATATTGATTGATATATTGTCAGACTGCTAACCAGTCACAAGATGTCTTTTGAAGTCAAAGGTATCCAGAAACCCCAGAAATGTATGAACTCCATAAAGTGTAAGGGCAGCCTAAAGAAAAGAATCATCATAGGGTTTTGCTTTAAAGCTTTTGCCACCTGCCTTAATGATGTGAGCTCTTTACCTGTTGGTTCAAATTTACATACAACACTTATTTTTCTGTCATTAGACATTTAATTTGTAAAATAATTTATAAGGAGTCTAAGTTGGACAGAGATAGAAATGGTCTGATGAAAGCTGGAGAGGGGGGAGCAGGTATATGACAAAATTCTTGAAATTGTTTTAAGTTATTAAGGAATTTTTTTTTACAAAAATACTAAATCTCGCATATTCTGAAATTGTTTTCAGTTATACACATCTAACAAGTTATGGTATTTTTCCATTGATCTAAAAAATCTGGTCATATATTACAATACAGAATTTATAGGTTCTCTTATAGTATTACATTAATTGTATAACATTCATGTTTAGCATGTGTTGTTAAGTCAAAAAGATTGTTATTAAAAAATCTAAAACATTTTCGATATCAATTAAATTCATTAGCATAGTACATCTTTGTAATTAAGTGCAAGTTAGATGTGTTCAGCAAATTTCATAAAATAAGAAAAAAAGTACAAATCAGTTTTCTTACTAATCCAGTGCATTATCTGTTGTTATATTATTATGTCTCTTTATTAACTAATTGAAGAAAAATTGTTCTCACAATGCATACAAATTTCAGCATGCATCAGTTTGCTTTAGCTTTCAAAAAAAAGTATAATAGGATAGGAAGAAGCTCATGCATAATATTCCATATCTATCTTTTACAAGACACTATACTATCTTTAAATGATTGGCCAGCAATTTTTTCTCATGTAAATTAATTTGTACAAGTATTGCCTCAATATTTCATGAAATGATCAGTTTGTATTTATCCAACCAGCATTGCCAGGTCCATATCTGATAATTGGCTTGCTTGACATGAAGAAGACAATCTTTGCAAGAAGGAAGCTGTCATTGACACTGGATATTTTTGTTTCAGATGAATACAGCCTGCACGTGAACTTCTGTAGCATCTTAAATATGTCTAGTGGGAATGACCATTTTTTTCCATAAGCTTGAAAATGCATTCTGGTGTGGCTTACTTCCAGTAAGCAATTTTAATGTACTAAGTTTTTCATGGCCAGAAAATGCATTGATACTGTCGCATCCGATTAATGCATACTTTCCCATCAAAACCATGCTCACATTCTCTCTGAGAGCTGCAGAGAGTTTTTGTATATCAATCAACTGGGTATTCTGCTTTGTCCCACATTTGATATACAGCTTGCAGGGTATCTTGTAGTGACACCTAGGCAAAGTATCAAGACATCTGTATCCTTTGCCACAATGATGACTGATTCATTTTCTGGAATAGCACGTTGTGCATGCAAAAGGAGCCCGTTGTGTGCCTCCTCCTGTGTTTTTGTGAGATCTTCTGACCCTTCTATAATCTCCTGTGTAATTCTGAAGCACTTGTCGTCACACGTGACATACGGAGCTTTGGTACTTTTTTTTTCTTTGAGTCTCTGTTTGCCAATCCTCAGTAAGGAACTGTAACAGTTTGGTTTTACTGGTGTCACACAAGAGCAACTTTCTCCAGTTCTTGATCCTGTGCTCAGGCCTTCTCATTAAACACCATTTTCTCATTTTATCCTCTATTTTTACATTCAGTAACTTTGATGGACCTCTGTATACACATCAAAAATAACATCAATATTTTAACTTTTCCAACCATTCTGAAGCACTGATGCAAGGATGTGTGATGATATTTTAGCAAAAGTACAGTTTTCCCCTTGTGCTTTATGGATTAGGCTCTTCCCATCAATTACTGTAGCTCATGGTTGTAGAGTTGCATTAAGTGATGCTACTTTGTCCTACTGTTTCCTAGCCAAGGTTGCTTTGTTTGTTTTTCTCATTATGCCATCAGCATTAGCTAAGGACCAGGGAAGAGAGCCTAGTGGGTGTTTCAGCACTTCCTTGATGTCACCACCACTTCTTCCTCTGAAGAATTCATTTCATACAGCAAACACACTGCAACCTGCAAAAAAAGTATGGTACAAATCAAGAGGTGCCTTATAATGTGACTTGCAATGCAAGCAATTACCTGTCAAAATTTACAAAAATTTAGCTTGTAAACATTTAAAAATTGTCATTTTTACCACAAAAATGACCAAAATTACAGCCATATTGGCTTTCTTTAAGTGCCACCAGAACCTTGATAGAATTGTCAGTTTTACATCAGTTGCATATCTAAGTGCCTTTAGATAGAAATGAAGGTAATTAGTGAGAGTTTGATCCAAGTAGATACAGAGCATTTAACCATTTTTGCAAATTAGATGGCCATTTTGTTTTTCCCATATCCTGACCTGTGGGCTACAAATGTCCATCACATTATTTTGACTTATGGGGACACCCCAGATGGTACCAGCCCTGCTTACAGTCTATAGACTAAGCAAGTTTGGTAGCAATTGGATCAAATTATGAAGTACCCTCCCAAAATTATCAAAGCTGAATAAACTAGAAGTAAGTATAAAAAACAACAACAAAACTTAAGGCTAAAATTGGGTGGATCACAGATATGTAGCTTTGTGCTTAGAAATATTTCAGAAATCTCTAAGTTATTTAGTTGATTATTTTTATGAGTCTATTTAATTGTAATTTCAATTAATCAGTTGTTGAAATAATTGGAAACTAATTGAACTTGTTGATTATTTTTGTGACAATCCATTTAATTGTAATTTTGATTAATTCATGTTGGAATAATTGCAGACAGTAATAATTGTGAACACTAATTTCAGTTAATCAATTTAATTGTAATTTAGATTAACCAATTAGTTTATATGACACTAATTTATGTAATCACTGCTCATAGGTAATAAATTAAACCATCCAGCTCTATTCTCATATCATGTGATTCTTGAAAATGATAATTTAAGGTATCAGCTGACTCGTAATTGAAAAACTGTACTAATTTTTGTTTGCATTTTATTTTTTTATGATGCTCTTATGCTTCATCTGAACCAGTGGAGACCTGCTTATATTTAGCTTAGATGTAGAAGTGGTATTGTGAAACATTTTTCATGGACTATAGCAGTGGTTCTCAATGTCGGCCATATGGCCCTTCAGGGTGCCAAGCCATGTTTCTAAGGGGCCACTCATTAATGACGAGAAAATTAGGGGGACACAGTAAATTCTGAGTGGGCCATCGAAACTTCACTGCCCTAATAAAATATTTAAAATTTTAAATTGAATCAAAGGTTCCCTTCTCCCCGATTCCTCCACAGCTCAGAAGTTAAGTTACCAGATGTGACTGATACTCAGTAACAATCAAAATGTTTGTCTGGTATTTGTGAGTGTTTCAACTGATTCTCAAGAGCAGCAGAGTAATATAACAGCCCAAGCTAGATTTAATGTGACAAACATTATTTCTGGATAAGTAGTGAAATAGCTAATAAGTCTCCACAGCTCTGGGAGAAGAAAAAGTTATATTTTATTGCTTTTCCCACATCTTATCTTGTTGAATCTGGTTTTAGTTGGGTGACTTATTTACTATCAAAAATACATAACTGCCTTGATGTTGTGAAGAGAGGTGATCTTCGCTTATCACTGACCACACTGCAACCGGACATTCAAAAACTTTCAAAGTGTTCATCAGGCCCAAGGATCACACTGAATAAAATGTCAATGATTAACAGAATATTTTTCACTTGTATAAGTAAACAGTATGTTATAAACAAAATATTTAAAAGCAATACAATATTGTAAGAATAATAAAGTAACTTTTTTTCCTAAGTAACATCATCTACGAATGGTTGGGCCACAGGTACCTGATGATGACAGAACCTTGTCGAAACGTTGTACATTTGCTGTTATGGTAAACTTATTCAAGTTTTTCTTCATTACCCATTCAAGCTGTCTCCAAGCATTATTAGTCTCAAAGAGGGTTCCTCGTCATCGAATTACTAAAGCTTGTTCTTTCCTTGTAAACCATGGTTTATATTCTTCATAAACAGCAAGGCTTAGACTTTTTTATTTGTTCTCTGTACTTTAGCCAAGCATTGTTTGAACTATTTGGTGCATTCACCATGTAGTATTTATATTGTGAAATATTGTCTATTGACCAGACAGGTATTACAAGTTGGGTTTCTGGGACCATTACTAGTATTTAAAAACATTTACTAAGAGTACAGAATATTTCAGTATAAAAACTTGTATGATTTTAAAGCCACTTTCTTTTGAAAGCTAATGTTTAACAGCCAGAAGAAATGGAAACTGGAATGAATATCTTATTATTTACAGACTGAACTTCAATCATGACAGATTTTGTACAACTCCTTACCTTGTATTTCCCAAGTACATTGCATAGGATATTTTCAGGAAAAGAAAATTATGGTTTTACAAAAATTAAGGAAGGAACCTACAAGTCTACAAAAATCTGATGTGTATTAGAATTTATATTTTTTCAGGTTAATAAACAAATTTAAGGTTTGTTTTTTGAAAATTCAAGTGTATTTGAGTTATTAATATATATAATATACAAGATAGATATCTTTGACTTTTAGTAAATCTGTAAAAAAAAATTTTTCGTAGCTCATGACTCATCAACCCGACTATGTAAAGTTCCTGCTGCAGTTGGCTGATTTAGGAAGTTCTCTTAAGATCCCAGCTTTGAGAGACAGAGCCCGAGCTGTGTTGAAGCTTATGCCTGCAGGTGTGATGTTTTGTAGATACTTGTGTGTGTGAATTTTTGGAGATACTAAATATTTGGATACTTTAACCTAACCTTAATCCTATTCAGACCTGTGAGCACCTTTTGAGTGTTAAGTGCACACATGCTTATTAAAATTTAAACAAGAATAATAATTCCAACACTGTTTCAACCAATTTTTACCCAGAAATATTTTAAATTGACACTTTTCCACTTTTTAAAAGTTGTGTAGCGTAATTCCCAAAGAAAAATTGTAAATAATTTCAAACTTACACTTATGCACAGGTCTGAGAAGTCTTGCCTGAAAACAATGTAATTACCTGTTGTTGTTTTTTATGATTTTTCTACCCATTCCAAAGCATAGGCTCTTACTTGCTAAGAAACTATTATTTCTTGAGGATACAGTAAACCAAGTCCTATTTGTTTCGTATTATTCTTTTTCTGTCTGACGTTTTATTAATACAAGCAACTATTTTCTACTTGTTTATGACCTCGTAGCACATGATGTAAACAACTTGAGAATAGCTACAGGTAAAGTTTAAATACCATTGGTTATAAACTACTTATGTTAACCCTTTCGAGATGGGTCACAGGTGAAAGGCCATATCATCTCCTTATCTCAGTAACTTTGGTATCAAACAGACAAACATCAATTTTTGTGTGTCACGTGTTATGTTGAATGCAGCACTGATTTAAATTAGATGTTTCTGAAGTGAAAATACTAAGTCTATAGCTTCATACGAGGTCTGTCCAAGGGACCGAGCCCGTGCTGAAAGAGTTAATGTAGAGTGAATGAAGTGGTGTAAGAAATAACTTATGGTATTGTGGGAAAGTGATCAGGTGTAGCTTGTGCAGAGAAGAATTGCAATTTTGTGGGAAGATTGAAAGACTTGTATACAAACCATAAAAACCTGGGAATTTTTTATAGTTTGTTTAGATGTTATTTTCATTCTCAAAAATGTTTTCATGTTTAAATTATATTTGTTTGAAAGTTATGGAAATTTTCTTCTATGACAAGACATGAGGTAAGCCTAGTTAGGTTTAGAGAGTATGCCAAAATATTCTGCTTCCTCAAATGTGGCTGAAATCCTTATTTATGGTTAAGTTTTTCATATTCAAATAAGTTAGATATTAAAGTAAAATAATTTATTATTTACTGAAAAGAAGCTAAATATAGGTATAAATTGATCTTGACCAATAATACTGATAGTAAAAATATTGTTACCAAGCTTGACCTTACATTTTAATAGGTTAGGTCATCGATAAGTTTGTTAGTTTTTGGCATACTTTTTATGATTAAAAGTCAGAAATGATGACTACTGCAATCAGCTTAAAGTTGAAGAGAAATTTTACTGAATATTAAGCAGGTAGAAACTTGTTGTAGATATAGAATTAAACTATCTGATCAATAGCAAAACTAAGATTCTTGCAATTTGGTTAAGTATTTCAACTGTGAGAAGGAAAAAAAAATTACGAGGTAATTGGCATGCGCGCGCGCACACACACACACAAACAAACAAACAAACAATCAATCAATCCAGAAAGGGTTAATTCTAAAATCAATAAGTACCTTAATAAAATTCAAAGTATATTTTACTTACTGTGGTTTTGTCCTGTTTAGATAATTTTATATAGTATTTTGTAATTTGTGTATGGTTGTTATTGGCTGCTTGTTCTGTGCACTTCATTGTTTGCTCTTCAGTCATTCATATAGGTTTTTATGCTTTGCAAAAATTTGTTTTTTCTGATTTCATGATTTTGTAAGAAGTTTTTCAGTTCAAATTATTCTACCTCTGAGTATAGATCTATGTTACTTGTTTATCTGTGGTTTTGCTGTATTCTGTTATTGATGTTTTTATATGTTAATTAATGTATATGTTTTTTAGAATCATTATGCTATGTGCATCTTTTTATTTTTCAATGTGCAAAATCATATAGAAAAAATTAATTTGATAGGTATACCATTTTGAAAAATTTGTACTAGCATTTTACTAAGTTCTTTTTAACAGCAAATAGTTATCAATTGTTGGAAAACACGTGTTTAGTTGGAAGATTTATTAACTTGCTTATTTTTTCCACAGGTGCCCATACAGTAGAAGGACTCCGAACTATATGTCTAAATAATGCTAAACTAGGTGATCAGTCTTTGTCTCCAGTTTTAGAATCTGTATTTTTTGATCCCTCCCCTTCTCTGGTTCTGTACTGTCTGGAGGTAGGTTTTTCTAATCAAATTTAAATACTTTGGAAGTAAAATTTCCTTAAAAAAATAATATTTAAAATAAAACATTAAACTAATAATTATTGTTATTTCAAAACAATTAATGACTTGTTTCACCCCTACACTTATTTAAGCATTTAAAAGCTTCTCTTTTTTGAGGGTACAGAATATTTGTTAAGTACACTGAATTTGTAAATTTAACATTCTTTTGATTGCATACTATGTACTTTTTTAATACAAAAATCATATAATCTTTCAGTTCTGATATGTTTCATTTGAAACATTTTCTAAAGTTTTCACACCTGAGTACTTGTATCTCAGAAACAGCATTTTGGTTACTCAGAGTAATGAAGGATTGTCAACAGTTGTCCCCTGTTGGGACAGCAGGTAAGTCTGTGGACTTACAACACTAAAATGTGGGATTCAATTACTTGCAGTGGACACAGCAAATAGTCCAGTGTATGTTTGCTCTAAAATAGATAAACAGTTGTCAACAGTTGGTTTCTAATGGTAGCACTAAGTTAAAGTGTGGGGGTTTTCTAGCAGTTCTGTTTTTCTTTTTCAAATTACTTGACTTTGTTTCATATGTATGCTCATATTTACTTTAAAATTAATCAAGCCAAATTTTTCTATATAATCAACGGGTTTGAAATTTAAGTCAGCCCCCATTTAAACTTTTATGTAAGTGAAAAACATGTTCAACTTTTTATATATTCTATAAGTTCACCTTTTTTTCTTTCTTTTTTGTGATACAGGTTGTTTATACATTATTAATGCCTGCCCATAATACATTATCTGAAGAGACACAACTTTTTCAATTCAATTTTTTCAAAAGTGGTGGAGTTAACTGTGTTCTGGGAATGTTGACAAAGAACAACTTTCTCCTACATGCTGATATCCCAACTAAGAGGTTAGATACCTTTTTTTTTTATAATGGTAGATTAAGAATATGTGTATCATTGAAAGAGACAATCTCTTATTATATGACATGTTAATTCACAATTATTATATATAGTAGATGATAAAAAATTTTAATTCATCTTATTTTTGAAACATCATAGAGCTGCTTATTTAATGGTGTTGAAGCTAGCCAAGCTACTCTTCACTGTTGTTATCAACTGTATAGTACAAGTGGCCATTGACAACTGCCATAACCAGAAGACCACTTCAATAATGACAGCAAAGGCTGAGATGCTGACCCAGGCCAGAATGCACTTACCTAACCCTAACTCAGAATACATGTTACGAAGTGTTGCAATGAGACTAAGTCATGTGTTGCACGAGCAGGCAAGTGTTGTTATTTTTGTGATTGGCTTTAAATTGTTATTATTCAGATGTGTTTTCTTTTTTTTTTTTAAAGAATTATTGTGTGACTTAAATACCTTTTTTTGTTGTCTAATTTTTTTCAACCAACACAAAATTAAAAGTTTATTTCCATTATGAATTTACCACTAATTTTAATTGGCTGGAAAGGAAATGCAAGGATTTCATGTAGGTAATTGTTCTTACACCATTTTATGGTTAACATAAAGTTGTGTTTCATCCATCATTACCACCATATTCCCATGTTGTTAGGCAAGTTTAAACCATTGGTCAAGGCGAGTACTTTAGTATGTGCCTTTGATGCTATTTTATTTACAACATACTTAAAAATGATATAAAACAGAAAGAAAGGCATAACCTTTTTTGTAGTTTAAATTATTTGATTTTCTCAAGTCAAAGTTACCAAGTTTCAGAACTTAGAACATAATTAACAGATTATTTTTTGTTTTTAGAGTGGAACAAGCATTTTTTTCTCAGAATTGTATGAGAAACAAGTAAAAAATCAAAATAATTTCAGGATATATACTTTATTTAGGGGCTAATTTGTTGAAATAAGCCTACTTTATGAATTCATCCTTTATTTCAGATTAATCAACCAAAATTGTTTATTTATGTATATATATACATACACAGATATGGTTCTATTTTCTCTATGCTTGACTCAAAAAAATATCATTATTAATTTTATGTTCAACTCCTCTAATTTGCTAATATGCCTGATTTTTTGTTGTTGTTGTTGTTGCAGTGGCATAAGTACCAATATACCAGAAAAATAAAATAAAATGTGATTCTATTAATTTGAATTACAGATAAAAGTTGAGTTTAATTCACTTCTGCAAAGTTACGGAAAACATTTAACAAAAGGTATATAACACTTGAGAATAGCTAACTATAAGTTGGAAATTACTGTGGTTGAATTCTTTTGAGAGATTTTTAATTCTTTTTTATTCCAAAAAGTATGAGAAAAGTTTTCTGACATAGTCTTAATTTTGGAAAATGTTTGAGGATTCACTTGTAATTTATAATGTTACAAATTTTGAGAAACTGAGTTAGCCTCATGAATTTGGATCTTCATGGTATTTGAAATTGGACCTAAATTAGATCTTTTTTTTTATTATTACTCTACATTTTAAGATATTTCTGCAACAATTGTTATTTGTTCTTTTTATCAATTTGTATTGTTTATAGGCTGTGTGAAGCAAATTATTGAAACTATAGCTAGTATATAATAGCCACTATTCAATCATTTGTAGGGTACAGGCCCCTTACCAGATCTTTGTACAGTGAAGTCCGTTATTAAGTTATGCTGGGCATCATCTTGTGGATCCCTTCAGCTGCTACAGTCCACTAATGAAGCTATACACCAACAACAGGAAATGGTAATTTGAAATACTTAGTTATCTATGTTAACACCAATGTTTTAGTCATTATATTTAGTCTTAATTTTTTAAAGGAGACTTGCTAACTCCAAATAATAAGCTTACATTGATATTATAATATGTTGGGCAGTTTTAATTTTAATTATTTGAGAGCCGTTATTGTCTCTCTAGTAAATGTATCTTACTTATAATTTACATATTATTATGGTTAAAATAACATACTTAGTAGAACATAGATGGTCATGAGTTACATTTTATTTTTGCCATAATTTTAAAATCGGATATCTGACTGCAAATTCTGCGAAAGCCCAAAAATTACTTAATTGCTTTGGTAGACCTTTATTCCAAAGATTTAAAAACATTTTAACATCAGATTTTTATAGGGTGACCAGGTTTCCAAACTGGAAAACTGGGATAGTCCACCCCTTGCCCCTAATTTCAAAATGGTTGTTACAAATTTGAAATAATTGAACTTTTACTTAATTTACTTTAAATTTATTGACCAGTTCCACAATATTTCCAAATATCTTAGCATTGGCATTGTCTTTGAAGTAATTTCAACTACTTTTTTTTTTTTGGTGATAAACACAAAGTAAATGAGCAAAAATAGTCAAATTATACATCCAAGAAATCTTTAATTATTCACTTTATCTATTTAATCTTAAAATATGCTACCTTGTAATTGGATGTATTTGAGAATCCATAACATTTTCAAACATAACACTTTTAGGTTTTTAGCATTACTTTGAAACGTTTTAAATATATTTTTTATGAAGAATGCAAACTTAGAAGTTCTTTTTTTTTTATTAAACATTTATAACATTCAGTATGTGACTGTGTAAAGTGTGTGTTGTGACAATGAACACCACCTTAACTGTCTCTACATTCACACCTGGGTTTCTTACCATGCACGGACAACTTTCAAGAGAGTTTGGCAGCATAGGAGTACATGTTACAACAGTGAGAAAGTCGTATAGACTTATTACATTCATTATTTGATATGACTTACAGTTTGATATCTTTATCATAAAACTGGGATGTTTTGTACATTCTGAGAACTTTTCTTGGGACAAACTACTTAAAAACAGGACCGTCTAGCAAAACTGGGATGTCTGGTCACCCTAGATTTTTATTAACTCTTTCACTGTTGTGAGCACGTATATAGTACACAGTATATAATTTTTGTTTTAGCCTTGTGAAGAGTGATATTAACTACAGTTGAGTTTTTAATTTTGTTGTTGTGTAGCTATAAATACACTTGCCACTGGGAGAGTTATTTAGCTATAAAGGTGGCAGAGAAGGAATTAGAAAAACTATCTTTTTTTTATTTTGCAGGTTACCAAAGCAGTTGATCCAGAAGACAGTCAGCTGTGTAAAGAAGCACTGGAAGTGCTCTCAATCACTTTGGCTCTATGCCCAGAATCTTTAGACACCCTAATGAAAGATAAGCTCTGGCATGTATTTATTCTGGACCTGATACTTATCTGTAGAAATAGGTAAGAGAGAGAGCCAAAAACAATTATTAAAAATTCTCACATTTTCAAATTGTTTTTATATTATTATTACAATTTTCAATTAACCCTTTTGTGACGGGTGGGTCTAACTTTTCATGTCATGGTCTTTTAGTGAGTTATTTTCAAAATTTAATTAAACTACTTTTTATTTATGTTATACCAATTAGTATAGTGTAAAATCATAGCTAATAATCCATATTTTAATAGTATGTAATTGGGGAGGAGGGGAAGAGTCACTATAGGTTCAGTGATCTTATTGCAGTGAGATGGAGACATATGATCGGTTCAGTGAGGCTGCAGTTGATGGTGATCTTGGACATTCTGGAGAGAATTTAGATTTGCTTTTTTCTGTTGGCCTCTCAAGAGGCCACCTTGGGATAAGATGCCTCAGGCATTTTGTGTTCAGTTGGTCCATCGAGTATGTGATGTTTTGAGAATAGATGCTGCATCACAAGGTTTTCTGTTGAATTTGCTTTCATTTTGAAACACTGATGATTGGTGGGTTGGCCACTCTTTAGAACACCCAACTACTGGCAATTTGGTCTCCAATATCTCATTCTCAGACTTTGGCAATGGATGCATTATGTCAGGATGGGACAGGATTACAATTCTAGGCCTTTCCTCCAATTCGTATGTTACCCAAGGTACTAAATATGGTTTGTTCCAACCCATTGTTGGGTCCTGTTGATAGCACTGTATTGGCAGCTACTCCCTGATTTCTGCTTCTATTGTACCTTCAGGAGTACCCACCTCTTCTACTTCCTCTTTGGCCATCTCTGTGGAAGCAGCTATGATCTGACATGGTACACCCGGCTATCCAGGAGCTCAAGCTTCAGGCATGGAGGTTATGCAGTTCTTCGCACAATGTTGGGGTTTAATTTCTAAGGTTGCTATGTATCTGTCTCAGTCTTTGCTTAGTCCCACGATGAACATTTATCAACAAAAATGGCACTTTTTGGCAATTGTGTGTTGAGAGGAGGTTGAACCCATTTCGATTATTAGTGCCAACCATAACTCGTTTTTTGACCTGGCTCTTTGGCTAGGGTTTTGCATCTTCCACAATTGCCCTGTATTAGGTGGGCTTATTGAGTACCATTCAATACTTGGGACAAAAATTCTTCGAGTCCCCAGTACTCTTCGGCTTCCTCAAGCCGCTTTGGGTGCTTTGACCTAAATGACCATTCCAGTTACCTAACTGGTATATTAAGGTTACATTACATGCCTTTTCTCATCACCCATTGTGACCGTAGCCTCATGTGCTATGTATCACCTTTCCCTGAAGGTCTGTTTTTCATTGCAGACATTGTCAGTCATGGTGGTTTGTGCTGATTGTGCACAAGATGCTTTATCATTCTACCTACATCCTCAGACTGGTTCTTCTTCCCTAACACGCTGTCTCATAGGGAAGGGGATAACTGCCTGATCAGATGTTGATCATTTGTTATGTCCAGTGAGAGTCTTGAAGTTTTTGTTGCCATATTGATCCATATTGCTTATTCTGGGCTCTCTTTGAAGACGAGGAGTTTTCTGCGAGTAACGTCTAATCAGATTCATCAAATTTTTACATCCTAGTGGCCCGGTTGAATTGCCTGCTGGAAGACATTGTGCAGCCAGGTATGTGGACCTCCCCCACTACTTTTATCTCACATTATTTGTATGATCTGGCAGTGTCTTCATCTGAGGGTTTTTGACTACTGCCTGTATCTATCTTAACCACTTCCACTAGATTATACAGAAGGGTGAGTATTTTCATTGCTACACTTGTCTTCACCTTTCATGTCACTTACCTTCGTTTTCACAGGATCCAACTCTGTGGCAAGTGTTGCCCAGATAGGTGTGCTTTTATCAAACCAATTCTACAGTAGCAACCACTAATTCAATATACTTTATACAGGTTGCAACAGACTCTGTAGAAATGAGGTGTTCCATAAGAACACCAAGATGTGACCAGATTTCCCATCTCCACTAGTAGAATCTGGGGGGTAATGAGTGTTGGGGAGTCCTGAGTAACAGTGCAATAGATGAACCAAGTTCCCTAAATTTTTAAAAGCAAACCAACCTCAATTTATTCAATCCAATGATTGGCAAGGATGGGCAGGATCCTCTTATGCTTTACTCATGATAGTTCATGAGTGGCGGTCCAGCATAGTACAGTAATAACCTCCTCTTACACTACAGCTAGAATCCCACACTGAGAAAGTGGATGGGCCAGTGAGGGCATTATCCATACAGAAAGCATATACATAGATCATGCGTGTGTCAATAAAAGATTGACATCCTAGTGGGGGAACCGTACTACATCTAGAACAGGTATGCTCTTCACTTGGAACTTAAGTCATGTACTGTGGGTGGAATTTTACATGATTTATTATATCTATTGATCAGGCCCCAACCAAATAGTCGAGGTTCCACTGCTAGGGGTTGAAATTATAGGGCCATGGTGTCTATATCCCCCATTGGTGGCTAGGGCAATTGGACTGCAATCTGGAAACCGGGAGTGATACGGACAATAAGTATGTTTTGGAAGTTAACATTTTCTTAAATCGAAAATGTATTTCCAATAACACTTACCTCTGTTCACACTCTTACGCCCTTTCTCCCCACTAAAGTCAGTGTTAGATACTGCGGATTAAGTCAGTCTTGAAAAAGTGATAACATTATCTGAATGAGGTGCTTGTATACAGTACCAAGATAGAGGGTGCATTGGCATAGGTGGAGAGTGTCACGAGACAAATATCTCCAAGAGCAATAAGTGGGGTATAAAAGACTGGAGCAAGCAAGAAAAAATAAGACCAATGCTTAGATGG